AGAGCTGTTGTTCTTCAGCTTGAGGATACAGCCGGCTATATGGAAAGGAAACTACTTAAAAAGCTGAGTTGTTTTACAGGCTTCACTGGAATTTAAAGTCAGGCTACCTGAATCTATCCATTACTTACCATCAGCTGTGTTGCTTTGTTCAGTTCATCCTATTTAATCAACAAAACCCCTTGGCCACGTTGTGAACATGCATAGTGAGGTGAACCAGAGCTCTTCCATGGCCGTGACTCCACACCGTGGCAAGGAGTCACGTCTTCTTCCGTGCACGCGAGGACCTCTGAGGACCCACGCCGTCGTATGAATAGCAAATGCCCCTCCTCGGGGGAAGCTGCTTGGGCACAAGGGCCCCACTAGCTGTTCTGTAAGTAGACGGTAATGAAAATTAATCAGGACAAACATTAACTCAAGAGTTTTATTTACTTGTCAGAGCTCTGCTCCACATACAGAAAAACAAATCTTCACGCACTACTTACAGCTTCAGCTAGTTCTCAATAATCCTAATAATTTTTTCTGATGACTCCTTACTAGGTTGTTTAAATACACTTGCAAATCAAAGAATTATGTCTCATCGCTTCAAAAAACCACGTTTTAGTAAAAAAAAGACTTGGAACTAGTTTTCACTCCCAACTTAACTCTGAACATTTCACAAAATCCCTCTTCAAAATAATTCAGTACTACTACAATATAGACGATATTATCAGAGACCCTGATGCTTCCGCACCTCAATTAAATCTATAATATAGGAGGGGGAGGAAAGAGGGAAATTAATTGAAGATATGGCCATGTGGCTGTTAGGAAAAAATCTACGCCATTTCCCAGCTGAGAGCGCCTGGGGAAATAATTTCTAGCTTTGGGAAATACAGAAATTACTTTTTAATAAAGTTATAAATAAATAACTTTTTAGGGGAGAGTTAATCAGAAATGGATTTAGAAAAAATATTTGATAGACTTTGCTTTGTTGAAGGGAAATATCCCAAAATCAGTATTGCTGTTAGACAGAAAGATACGGTGCAGAATCAAGATTCAAGACAAAGACTTGGCTGGCAGTGGCTATCGAGGGTCGGTCCGCTTGCGCCCAGGCGGGATTGGAGGTAGGACAAGCTTGGAGTGGGAGCCTGGCCAGTTGATGAGCTGAGGCACATGAGAAGAACCAGTCTTGGACTTGCTGTATTTTCTCTGAAGATTGTCACTAGGGAGTTCAGTCTCTGCAGAAATTATAAATAAGTGAAGAAGCACTAAGAGGGTGTTTATTTCAGTGAAAAGTCAAAATTTACCACAAAGCTTATCTCCAGCTGAAAACCCAGTGTTTTGGGGGGTGAGGGAAGAGAAATATCTTCAGGTAGTCTAGTGACTGTTCTACCTCATACATGCGGAAGGGTAACTTTATGCCTAAGCAGCCACTATTTTTAATTGCTCAAAAAGTTCATCGAGAGAAAGCTGCTTGGATTGAGTATGCTGCATTCACGCTGTGATGATTCTGCCACATCGTAGCATTGCTGCTTATAAGTGTCGTTACCAGAAGCATGAAGAACCTGCCCTGTCACCCAAATAAAGCTACTGTCATTACAGTAGGAAAGATAAGCAGCCTGAGCAAAAGTTACTTAGGAATACGGTTCAAACCTTTCAATCTGTCCACTCCATTTTTAGCTCCTCTTGGATCTTGATGCTCAGCTTTGGCTTCTTCAGTAAGACAAGCATGGGGACCAGAAGTCCGAACCGCCAGACCTTCACTCGCAGATGCACCAGCTGAGATTAGAAATGGTCCGCTAGCAGGGCCAGAGTCTCTGCAGCTGAGAGGGGGAAATGATTCATGCTTTAAAACAGCAATAAAAAAAGCACATGCCCCAGGTCTGACAGTATTACTGATGTTGCAGTCACACAACTCAATCAAAAGTCAGAAATAAATCCCAGTAGTTATCAGTTATACAGAGCTTTTTCACACATGACAATTCTCTCAAAACTTCTAGTGCTAGCAAACACAACTACTACCTCTCTCGATTTTCATTTATTGGTTTAATTGATTGCACAGAGAGGTAAAATGAAGAGGTTCGTGCCACACAGTGAATCAGCTTCAGATCTGGGATCAGAACTCAGAGCTCCTTGTTTCCAAATCTGTGGTTCGGCACTGCAGACGATGTTCCCTCTTGGTGAGTAAAAGAAAATAGGAACTGCCTTGAAAAGAAGTGTTTCTGTAGTACCCCAGTGACAACATGGACCATCAGTACCCATTTACCAGTGAATAGTACACAAGGCACCTCTGACCTGTTAAGTCTCTTGCAGAAAATCCAGTCAAAGCCAAAGCCTGAGTGGTCTGAGGCCATGCTGTAGCTTGTTCTGATAAAGGTTTTCCCTTTCCATCTCTATACTATCAATTTACTTCAAGAAAAGTAAGGAAAAGACCTTGATTGATATGGAGAGATCAATAACTACCTATTTAATGCAAAACCGTAATATATATCTGGGGCAATGCTTAAGACGTTTCATAATGCCTCTCTTCATACAGAAAGGACTGTTCTGGTCTAGGTGAGAGCAGCTGATTCATAGATTGATGAATGTGAGAGGAAGATCAAAGATTATCCACCCTGACCTTATCCATGGGGCAGGCCAAAAGAATTTCATTCTGTAATTATTGCAAGGAGCATTTTGGCTTGTGAGAATACTGTGATTACAGTGTTCTAGGGAATAGAAAGAAACTATTTCAGTGGTATTTTAATAAATCCATACAGTAAGAAGAAGGGATCATGAATAATGAGATAAAACAGCGTGGTACTCCCATAAGACACAGGTGATTATCTTCTCACTAGATGTACTGTGGAAGTCTATGAGAATTTTGCCATTGCCTTCAAGGTAAAGGAATATTACAACCTGTAATGTACCGAGTGCGTGCGTCTTCCTCTGAGGGCCACTGCATCCAAGGATGCTCATGAGACACTGAATGCTCTAGCCAAGTGCTTAACCCTAGTCACAATCTCATTTTAGCTGCCTCTAATACACATCAGACATAACTGTGGTAGGGATAAGAAATTACTAGGAGTAGTAAATTCAGGCTCAGTATAAACAGCAGCTTGGACTCTTCAACAACATCTATTCCAATTTCTAAAAGGCTGACTACTTCTGCTTTCGCTTCAGAGAACACAGTCATACATTCGCCTACAAATAAAGATTAAAAATAGATATCATACAGCTCGAATTAACCCCCCGTGGATCTCTAGCTGCAACTACGTGAATGCACTATGTTAAAATCCAGCATCCTAAAGCGTTCAACAAAAATCTTCATTGCCTTTCTCCCCAGCTGTCCCTTTCTTAAAGGGCAGAAGACAAGGTAAAACTGTGGGAAATAGTTTACGTACCACTTGGCAGGGTGTAAAGGGGAGGTAGGTACCCAGGCTTTTCTAGTACAGGTGTCATAGGAAGCATTTAATTTAATTAAGGTTTCTTGTAAAACCACTCAATGAGAATAAGATCAAAAATAAGTAGGACAACTAGAGCTTATGAGGTCTCTGCCACCTAGGTGTCCAAGGTATTTGGGAGGGGTGGGGCAGAGGAGCTGAGAACCTACCTCTCCTTTGTGCTTTTGCCAGGTGACCTGTCAAGGAGTTTGGATAACCTATCTATCTCTAGTCCTTCCCTGACAGCCTCAGCACAGGAAAGAGAACTATTGTAGGTGAAGCAGGCATGAGTTCCCTCTAGTAAAATTTCCCAGTCAGCTAAATGGAAAGGAAATGAAAAATAGGAGGCTTAAAAAACCCCCAGTATTACCCCATGGAGGAATGAGACAAATGGATTCTGGTGCACTAAATACAAAATATGTTAGTAACGAGTTGAGGAGTAAAGCACTGGACTGCCATAGATTCTGTTTAGATTATGGTTGCACTGGACTGCCAAACCCTAACACATATCATTGCACGTGATGTCATAGTATGTCAATTGATGGATATTTTCCATTTGATTGTGTTTGGCAGGAACGGGGATGTGCAATTAAATATTGAAACAGTTCCTTGTTAAATGCGCAGGTCAATGGTGGGTGAGGTTCTGACTCCACCCTCAAACTTGCAAATGATGGAGGCATAGTAACAGATTAAGAAGTTAAGTTTCTGCTCTCCAACTCACTATATTTTGCCCCTTCTCTCTTCTCCTCTTCTAGTTATGCTGTAACCAGATCGTTTCAATATCCTTACAAACACCTCTACCGGTAAAAGTGAGACCTAAAGAATTTATCATTGCCTGTGGTGAGTAGTAGTCCTTTAAAGTACAGTTGTAAGATATATTGCCCTGAAGGACTGCTGCTCACCACAGGCAATGATAAATTGCTTAAGCCTGTTAGTGAAAAAAAAATGGAACCTCAGGGGGAAAAAAAAAAAAAAATCCACACTTTCATGTGTGGGAGAGTTCAGCCTCCAGCAGAGGAGTTAAAAGAATCCCTGAAAACTGGCATGGTGTTTTCTTTTGTGAAATCAGGAAAGACTAGGTTGTCAGAGTTTACTTCCAAGGAGAAGACCATAGCTATGGTCTTAGCAATGAAAAAGAGCCATGGGTGTAATTAGAAACTATCCTGCTG